ATAGTGAAGTATTTCTGAGATGTTTACTTAAAAAATTCTCTCCAGCACACTAATTGTCTTTGTATATCACTGTGTTCTCTACTCATCTAATTTTTTTCTAGTACTTCCATGCATGCTCCTTTTTATTTTTTAAAATTTAAATATAAAGTCAGTTTATAATGTTGTGTTAGTTTCTGGTATACAGCATAGTGATTCAGTTATATATATATATATATATATATATATATATATATATATATATATTCCTTTCCACATTCTTTTTCATTATAGGCCATACAAGGTATTGAATATAGTTCCCTGTACTATACAGTAGGACCTTGTTTTCTTTTTAATCTATTTTATATATAGTAGGTAGTATCTGCAAATCCAAACTCCCAATTTATCCTTCCTCCTACTTCTCCCCTGATAACCATAAGTTTGTTTTCTATGTCTGTGACTCTGTTTCTGTTCTGTAAATAAGTTTATTTGTGTCATTTTTTAAGATTCCACATATAATTGGTATCATATAGTATTTTTCTTTCTCTGACTTACTTCACTTAGTATGGTAATCTCTAGGTCCATCCATGTTGCTGCAAATGGCATTATTCCATTCTTTTTTATGGCTGAATAGTATTCCATTGTGTGTGTGTGTGTGTGTGTGTGTGTGTGTGTGTGTGTATACACATTTTCCTTCTCTCTAAAGAACTTTTTAAAAAAAACATATCTTGCAAAGCAGGTCTACTGGCAAGAAATATGTTCAATTTTTTTTTTCTGTCTGAGAAAGCCTTTATTTCTCCTTCACATTGAAGGAGAATTGAAGTTTCTTTGGGTACACAATTATATGTGTGTGGTTTTATTCTCTCAACACTTTAAATATTTCACTCCCTTTTGTTCTTGTTTGCACGGTCTCTGAGGATGCAAGTCTTATCTTTGTTCCTCTATAGGTAAGGTGGCTCTTTCCTCTGGATTCTTTCAAGATTTTTTTTTCTCTGATTTTATGTCATTGGAAAATGATATACCTAGGTATCATTATTTGTTTGCTTGTTTGTTTGTTTGTTTGTTTTTGGCATTTATCCTGTTCTCTGAGCTTCCCTGATTTGTGGTGTGGTGTTGACATTAATTTGGGGGAGATTTTCAGTCATTATTTAAAATATTCTGTTCCTTTCTCTTTTTCTTTTTCTTCTGGTATTTCCAACATTGTGCATATTACATTTGTTTTTGTAGTTGTCTTACAGTCTTTGGGTATTTTGTTCTTTTTTTTTTAGTCTTTGTTTTCTGTGCTTTTTGTTTTTGTGGATTCTACTGGTAGATCCTCTAGCTCAGCAGTTCTTCCTTCAGCCATGTCTAGTCTACTGAAGAAGTCAATTAAAGACATTCTTCATTCTTCATTTCTTACAGTGTCTTGGATCTCTAGCATTCCTTTTTAGTCCATCCATCTGCCAGCCCACATTGACCATTTGTTCGTGAATACTGTCTGCTTTATCCACTGTAGCATAGCCCTTAGCATATCAATCGTAGTTGTTTCCAGTTACTGGACTGATATTCCAACATCACTGACATGTCTCGTTCTGACACTGCTCTGTCTCTTCACATTGTGCTTTCTGGCTTTTGGTGTGATTTCTGATTTTGTGTCTGATTGCTAGACTTCCTTGGAAAAAGGAACTGCGGTAAATGGAACTTTAGTAATCTAGTGGTGAGGTGTGGGAGAGAGGGAGTGTTCTATATCCTGTGTGAATATCTCAACTATTCAGTGAGTCTATACCTCTGCACTGTGAACTTTACAAGAGGTTTCTCACTTTTTCCCCACTTTTGTGGAACAAGATGGCCAAGAGTTGACTGGAGCTTCCCCAAGGTCATTTAGGCTCTGAAAATACCCCAGCCTGTTAGCTTCTAGTTAACTAGTTTCCCCTGAGGGTAGGCATTTTACAGAGAAAAGAGTCCTATGATGTCTTTCAAAATGGTTCCTTTACCCTTCTCCCTTCTGGAAGCATGAGGGGATTTTTCTTATACTTTCTCTGGTAGCCGGGTCAAGGTCCTAGAGGTAAATATCACAGTATGTGGGAGACCCCCCAGCACTGGGTCCCCTCGAGTTGTTACCTCCTGGAGTTGTCCACACAGCACCTCCAGCAATTCAATTATAATTCAGGTTTTCCCACGCTGGCACTGGTTTCCCCTTGAGGTTTCTGCTTGTTATTCTCTGCTCTGGTAACCCATGAGTCCCTGTGTTTGCCAGTCTCTCTAATATTGGCTGCAGTGGTTTGCCCTGTGCCCTTACCTCTTTTTCAGATCCTAGAAGAGTTGTTGATTTCTCAGTTTGTTCAGGTTTTTACTTATTAGGACAGAGCATCAATTTCCAACATTCTCACATGCTGGACTGGAAACCAGAATATTTGTTCATTTTTTGGAGGTCTTTCCTTATTGTGGGAATCTTAGGTTAAACTCACATGGCAGTGGGTCCAACATTTTACCTCTTATCTTAGTTCTGGTATTGGAACTTGCTTCAGGGCAAACTAGCTTTTGAGTTTTATTATTGTCACTATCAAGTATCAGCTTGTTAATTTTTCTTTTTGTTTTGTTTTAGTTCTTTGAATTTTCTCATTTTTTCCCCTGACTCTAAGCAAATGATTAAAAGCAATTTTACTTTATGTTTTCCAGTGTGTATTTTTATTTTAACAGCAGTACGTTTCTGAGAGTATAATCTGTCATGCTGTAGAAAGAGGAACTATTTTCTTTGTGGTCTTTTAAAGATAATGCATGATCTTTTAAATTCTTTGACCCTAAACAGAAGCATTTAATTAAAATAATCTACCAGTTCCTATAGATAATCTTAGACTGAAATGTACATTTAAGCTGCCTTTCACACGTTCTATTTCGTTCTTTCCCCCTTTCTGGATAATCTTTGCGTATAGATACCATACAGGTTCCTTTCTATTCTGCTCTCTTTAAATGGGGAGGTCTTTTTGAAACAGCTAAATAGTATGGGGGAAAGATCGCCAAATCAGCAGTCTTCCATACACAGTTTCACAGCCAAGCTATTTTGTTCACTTCCTTTAAGACAAGTTTGTCCTCAGTTCTTCTTGTGTCCTCTCTCACCTTCAGGCTGAGGTTGATGTTGAAGTGGCTCACAGGATATATGCTTCTGTGTGGTTAATTCAGTGTCTTCAACACTGTATGCAAGAAATGCTCCATAAATCTTACCATATGAATGAATGATTAAATGAATATTCAACTGCCTAATGAACATATTTATCTGACTTTCTAGGTATAATTAATATAATTAATATGGAAGTAATTGTCTTTTCCACATAGTGGTTCCTCCTCTTGAGTTGACCATTTCAATATGTATATCCATTTCTTTTTCTTCTTCTTTTTTTTTTTTAGCTAGGACTTTTGGGTTTTTGTGTTTTTTTGAGGGGAAGGTAATTAGATTTGTTTGTTTGTTTGTTTGTTTGTTAATGGAGGTGCTGGGGTTTGAATCCAGGACCTTGTGCATGCTACGCATGTACTCTACCACTGAGCTATATACCCTCCCCCCTTGTATATCCATTTCTTATCGTTTCTTCCTCTCCATTCTGACAGTCATTTCCTTAGTGTATACCAATACCATGTATTGCTTTACCATTGTTATAGCTTCCATGGTTTTAATCTTGCATCCTGACCATCTGGCCACCACATTGTTGACAGAGTCATCATTCAACTTAGAGACTAAGCCAGTCAAACTTAAAAGACTTACCATATCTCTGCTTAATAATTAGAATAAAGTAGTGGGGGTAGAAATAAATAGAAGCTGGCTGTAAATTACTGTTTACCATGGGCACAAAGAGGCACTTACTGAAGTTAGCACACAAAAGCAGAATAATTCATTTTTATGTCACACAGAGATTATTTCCTTGAAAGGAGAAAAGGGAATTTATCATTCTTGTTGGCATTTCATAAACATTGCCTGTCTCAGGAAGCAGGGAAAGGCAGAGGATACATGCTCAAAAAGAGGGGAAACTAAAAAATTATCAGGGATGAAAAATAGAGACTTAACCTCAGTAATTTAGCTCT